GGCCGCCATGATGAAGTCGAGTTGAGGCCAACAAATGGCCGTCTAAGGATGGACGTATGTGCGGGTTTGTACAATTATTATATCGAGCTCTGTTGTATATGCGAATCGTGGATATTAAGTCGGGCGCATCATGGCGCAGCAGTTGGATGTCGACAAAGTTATGGGGCTTCAATGGTCTGTCCTGGACGTATTCAGAGTTTAAAACAGCTGGTTGAAACGAAGGAAAAGGGTCACAGCGGCCCTCAAGATACTTCAAAGAAGATCAACAAAAGCTCAGCTGCAAAAAGAGCAAAGAGACTGCAAAGCTCGAGGTTGTGATTCGTGGTGCCAAATTTCGGCCGCTAGAGATTCGCGATGCCAATGCCACGACGGGGGAGCTGTTCGAGCTAGACATTGGGCCAGTAAGGTACCGAATGACGGAGACAGACTGAAACTCGTGGCCCGTCAGGGTGCATGCCAGCTGTCAGCCAGCCTGTCAAAGCGCCCGTCAGTCAGTTTCGGCTGGTCTGTCTTTGGGCGCTGCTTTCCCCCTGCAGCAGGAACCAGGGGCCACAGCCACTCAAAACCACTGCCGCAAACGTGACTTCGCGGCAGCGCTGGGTTGCCTGCCGGGCAAATCACGTCGACGACGCGCCTCGGAGTTCAGACATTCATCATCATTTCACTCTTTTGATAACTTTCACTTGAATCTTCCAGAAGCGATAAGCCAAAAATATCACTGCTACCGAGATCAGCTGCTTCCAATTCACACTCCTCAGCTTGATTCCAGCCATGGAAGATTACAAGACGTACCTGGCTGAGAATGTCCTCAGCGAGGACAAGGTGGTAGGTCACCCACCCGATTACAAGTCGATGATGGTATTGAAACTGAAAGGTGAAGAGCCGCGACTAACATGAGATCAAATTTCAGGTCACGTATCGCTTGCTAAGTCGGGCCCTGCGTGTACATCCCAATGTAGCCAAACAGTAAGTAAACGAGTTTCTCTACACCTCCATGAAAAAAGTCCAAGAAGCAATGGCTTACACCAAGTAGAATGCTCTATGATTTTCACAAGACCCAGAGCACCAAGAAGCCCGGATCTGTCTATGCCACCTACCTGCTATATGGTATCCAGAAGTCCGTGCAGCATCAAAATGGCAACGCCATGGACATCGACTTGCCTAGTTCGCTTCCCGACGCCGACCCGGTTGACGACGATGAAGTGCCATCATACACCCTCGCACTTGTTCAGGAAGACCGACTAGCAGATGTCCTCAAGGATTACGAGACGATATCATCGATACATGTGTACAGCGTCGGACCTCACCCAGCCAAGGACCTTACGCTGCTTGTCGATGCCGCTCAAAGTGCGCTAGCCATCAAGGATGATACTAAGAAACCCCGGCCCCGTACCATCGTCAACTCTCACGTACGCCGAAGGGAAAGAAGGGGACCCGGGCTCAAGGCTGCCGCTCCCGCGCCCGTCAAACAGGAGTCGAAGGCTAAAGCAGCACCCACCAAGACGGCACCTGCTAAGCCAGCGCCAGCGCCCGCCCCTGCTGCCGCACCAGCAAAGTCGAAGGAGGAGAGCAAATTCGCTACACCGGCTACGGAACCCGAAGCACCCGCTGCTGCCACAAAGAAACCTGCGCCATCACTCAAGCGCAACACCTCTGCCGCCTCCGGTATCATGCAAGCCTTCTCCAAGGCCGCTTCCCTGCCCAAGAAGGCGAAGACTTCGGAAAAGTCTACTCCCGCTGCCGAAGACACGCCCGTTGCCCTATCAGACGATGGAGAAGACGATGACGACGTCCCATTGCCGAAACCCGGTGCGGCATCTTCGCGGAAGAGCAGGAAGGAGCGGGAGGAGGAGCTGAGGAGAATGATGGAAGACGATGAAGACGAGGACATGGAAGAGAAGGCTGATTCTCCCGCCCCAGAGGAAGAGGAAGAAGAGCCCGTCGTCGAGGAACCACCGGCCAAGGCTGAGGCTGCCAAGGAGGAGGAAAAAGAGATTGTGACGACCACTGGGGATGGAAGGAGGCGCGGAAAGAGGAGGGTTATGAAGAAGAAGCAGATCATGGATGATCAGGGATACCTGGGTAAGTTTTACTCTTGACAGAAGTCCAGCCACTGTATGGCTAAAATGGATGGATACTGACGTGTCAAAATTACAGTCACCATACAGGAACCCGCATGGGAGTCCTTCTCCGAGGATGAGGCTCCGCCAGCCTCCAAACAGAAGCCCAAGGTTGCGAGCTCGGCGCCACCCGCGGCGGCCGGGAAAGCGAAGAAGTCTGCGCCCAAGGGGCAAGGCAACATCATGTCGTTCTTCTCCAAGAAGTAGTGGTGTGTGGTTGGCTTTACCATTGCCATCTGATCATTTTGAGTTCTACATCCCCGTCTAGATGTTTGATAGATCTTAGCGGTTCACCAGAAGTCAACGCGTCTTTTGCCTGTGCTATCGTTGACTTGCTTACCTATCTTTGGGAGTTCTTGGACCTTCTCAGGAGAAATCTCATTACGACTACTTTCGATATAAACCCCGAAGGGAAAAGACGCATTACATCCTCAGTGCAGCGTTTTTTCGAGCTTTCCAGCTTTCTTTTGGCTCTTCTCCTCGTAAATGTCACGTCGTGTTTAAGTTTATGTGTGGCGCCTGTCTGTGTCACCAACCATTGCATTGTCAGCAGCAGCACCTTCCTCCGTTCAGGTGTGTTTGAAAAAGGAACCAAGCACATGGAGAGACAGGCAGACAGTCGGACGGGTCAGACAGCAGCAGCAAGCAGTGCTGGCAAGAGAACACGTTTTTGCGTCTCCGTCTCCGTCTCCGACTTCGGTTTTCTCTCTCCCTCTCTCCCTCGCCGTTCCGTTACATACCTCACACATACACGTGTACATACCTACCTTTCGGCGTCAATGTCCGTATCCGACGGACGCCCTTTTGTTGCACGCTGTTTCTTGATACGGTACCGAGGGAGCGGCCTACATGTCTGTCTGTCGGGCGAGCGGGCGGTGCGTGTGTGAGATGTATGTATGTCTCAAGTCGATAACGTACAGTACTGTGCAAAGTGAAAGTGTATAGACATAGGTATATAGGGACCAACTGCTGCAGGTCCTGTCGTCAGCTGGCCGGTCAGATAAGTAGTGACGTGAAGATGTGTTGTGGTTTGTCTCAGGGACATGTTGATGGCTTGTTTGTTCCTCTTTTCACTTGAGCATCGATTCCAAAGATGGATTTGCGCAAGAAACGCCACGCCAGGCAAGGTCAAAAGTCGTATGTATACAAGTAGAAAAAAGGGAGACAAAGAATCAAAGAGCGGCGTAAGCAGGAAGATGAGGAGCAGGAAAGGGGAGAAAAGAAAAAGGGTGGGAAACATAAGCCCCATGGGGACGGGGGGTGGGTGTGAGGGAAGTTGACAAAACGAGCACAGCGATAAACGACCCAAACGGGCGGGACGCATGACGTTACACCAAATACGGGTTCAGTTTCATACATACCCGACAGTCTGGGAAGAAGAGGGGTGGAAAGAAAGGAGCTTCCCGAGAGAGAGAAGGTAGAAAATCGAAAAGCAAACATGGGAAGACGGACCATTGATTTGGGAGCTGGGAGAGACGGCAGGAGGGCAGGAGGGGTGATGATCACTGATGCGATGATGATGAGGCGGTAAAAGGGTCTGGCCAAGGTTTTGTCGACTGTTGCTCGACAGTAATTTGTCCGTGATGGTTCGTCTCTTTTCCCAGTTTTGGTGTTTGAGGTGTTGAGTGTGTAGGCGCTGGCTCGGGTACCCTCCAGTTATCTTGAAGTTTGAGCCCGATGATCCAGCACGCTTGCTTGACGGATTGATGACATGCCCGAGGCTTGGATGGTCTCAGAAGTCACACCGAGAGTAGGCAGTCGGCCTTTAACCCTCGCTACCGACGGCATCTCGTAAAAGTGCAGTGCATTCACCACAGTATATTTCAAGCAAACATCGTTCGTTCCACAACTCCCAAGACTCTCCCATGACTCCATCCCAGATAACGGAGAGAACAGCCACATAAAGACGACTACACTAGCAACGGGCGGCCGTCTCGCCAAGATAATATCGGATTTATCTCCCCTGCTACCTCCATCCTTTCTTACGGGAACTGAAACGTTCGCAATCCGTGATGCGATGGCTGACATGGTCATGGACAAGGTCAAGGACAAGGACAAGTCATTTATTTTCCTTTTTCCAAAAGAAAGCTCCAAGCTGCCCGCCCCCTCCCCGCTCTGACAGTCAGGATTCATTATTGGCATCATTCATGTCATTCACCATAAAGCATTTGTAATGCTGTAAGCCTCGGTCATCCGGTAGTCTGGCCAAGGTAAGCAGCCAGGTTGCCAGATGTGGAGCGAAAGCGACAAGGTGAGCAAGGGAAGGGGAAGTTCACCTGGACTCCCCATGACATTCCCGACAATCAGGCTTGCCAAGCTTACCAGGTCAAGCCAGGTCAAGGGATCAAAGTGAGCGAGCCCGTGAGCCCGGTGAACACGAGATGCCCTTGCCAACATGCCAACAGGACCCAACCGGGCGGTGACCCTTGCCTTGTCATTGTCGTCGTCTGGTCGTCGGGAATGTTTCCAACGGCACTGGTTGGGTTGACTTTGACGAGGTGTTGGTGAAATTCAAAGATTCAAGAATGCAATGCTCGATGTCTCCAGTATACAGAAGGATTGGCGACGTTCACAAGTTTGTCGTCGTTAACGTTTGATGCTCTCCCGTCGTTCTCCGCCGTCGCCGCCGCCTTCGACTGACCCGCCAAGCATCCCGCCGCTTAGTCGACGATCCTTTCCCATCTCTGCCATCCCACTTTAGAACCGTTCCACGTGGAAGGCAATGATCTTCGCAAAGACGGGAGCCAAGAATAACCACAACACTTCAAAGTCAACCTGATGAACTCTTCCAATTCGGGTCGGAAGATTTTGTATTGTAACTACAGCAAGCTGTACATCTAGTTGCCCCATCCCTTCGAGCATCCGTTCGTAAACTCAATGAGAACCTCCAGTCCCTCCATTCCATCCTTTCCACTCTGGGCCATAAGCCTTAGGACTGTGTTTGTTCTCGTACGGTTTTCGTATAAAGGGTCGCCCTCGCTTCGCTCCATGTCTCGCTCCGTGTCATAATCATGTCCCGGCAGGGGAGACAGCAGCCCTTCCAACCAACAGCTCAACCAACACCGCGGGTCCTATTCAAAACTTCCGGGACGGGCAGCGGCGCTGTCTTTCAGGGAATCACTGTCAGGGACTACTGTCAGGGCTCACCAAATAGTCTCAAGTCCAGACCCGTCTATCGCTCAGAGGCTCGTCCCGCAAATAATATTGTCCTGTCTCATCATTGGCATTTTCATTACACGTGTCGCGAGACCTCTAGCGAAAGACCCAGACCTCCCAGACCCAGGCCCGGGGAGTCGGGTCCGAGGAAACGGGGTCTCGCTCGCTGGACTGGCGGGCAGGCGGGTTCAACGGGGTTTGATGGAGTTGACGGGTTCGGCCGGCGGTGGAGGTGGGCGGATGTTGAGCGGGTAGGGACTGGACTTGTCGGGACTCGTCGGGACTCGTGGAGACTCAACGGTAACGGTAACGGTAACGGTCAACGGGGCCGCCGGGTAGTGCAGCGGAGTCGGGTTCAATGACAACGAACACATGCCTATCGCAATCCATTTCATTCCAGTAGCTGAAAGGATTGTTTTTTTTTCAACTTGTGCTTCCATGCGTCGTTGCCAGCTGGCTGGTTCGGTCCCGCCCTAGCTACACTACACTACACTACACTACACTAGCACGACTACTGCGTACACGTGTAGCAGTTAAACCGTCTCCTCGGAGCCGCCGACTCGCCAACTGCAACGAGTCCCAAGCACCCCTTTCTCTTGCTTGCTTCATTCTTTATCATTCTGTGTAACACCAATCCAAGCAAGACTGAGGCAAAGTGACTCAGGTACAAATCCCCCCCCCCCCCCCCCCCAAAAAAAAAGCAGAAAAGGAGGGGCGGCTCGGGGGAAACAAGAGCCAATGAGACGGAGGCCAACGGCCTCACTTCCGGGTTGAGCTCGGAACGACCTCCTGTGAGAATCACAAAAAGTCGGGGCTTCTGCCGATTGCCTGGCTACGGGCTTCGGAAGTGGTACCCATACAACGGTTGAGAGACTGAGTGGACAGAGAACAGAAGGGGGCAAAGGGCGTAAGCGTAAGGGGTAAAGACGGGAGTTGTTTGTGTGATGTGTGTTGATGAGGTGGCGAATAAGTCTATTAGCTGGCATTAGTACACTTGACTGGCAAGCGGGTAGCGGGATCGGTAACCGCCAACTGTTAAGTGGTTGTTGGGAATTTTCGTTGTGTGCGTCTGTGTGTGCGCCTGTGTGTGTGTCGCGATGTAGTATTGCAGGTGCACGATCGCCGATTATGGTAAAGGCTACTGGTGTGTGATCCTGGTGGTGTGCGAAGCGTTTGCGTTCCTGGGATCACAAGGAGTGGGTGGTGACTTTTGGTGAAAATCACGGATAGAGCCCCAGTGGGATGGGAGGACGATAGAAGCAGTTCGGGAATCAATCATAATACTTTATGGGCGAAGAGTGTAGGAACTTTGTTTTATGAAACAGCTCGATATATTGTACCTATAGAGAAATGTGTCCTAGTGTTTCCCTTCCATGACCACAGGGAACCTATGAGGGACACCTTTCCTCCATTCATTTGCTGTTTCCTTTCACCAGACAGGTTGTGTTCTCTCCCCAGATTTCGCAGTTGATATGCAGGATCCGTAAAGTTGGGTATCAAATCGAGCGCCGACGTAGTGAATGACGAGAAATATGCGATAAAATAGGATCAGAGTCGTTAACATGCGCGTGTCTCATATCGATGCTAATGATGGTGGTTGTGTGGCCTTTGAGAATGAATGCATGTATCTCTTGCGAAAGAGTCTGGTTAATAGCGAGCCAAAAACAGCAAAACAAAAAGAGCAAAACAAATCCAGAAAAAAACAAAAACGATATCGTCAGCTTTCTTCGCTTAAACCTTCATTTTCATCGTGTTCTAATATCCTCCTTTTTTTCCCTCCTAACAGAGCGACAAGGACACTGAAACGTATCATGTTACTTGAGCTTCATCGCCTCAAGTTTTGCTTGTATGCTCTTCCAAGCTTCGGGATCGGGTTGAGGTTCCACCCGCTTCGGCGCAAGTCGTTCGCAGTCTCTGTTAAAGCACTTGGGACAGGTGGTGACATGTGGCTCCGAGGCGAAGATGTTCTTGCAGGACTTGCATTCAAAGTGAGCCTGGCGTTTTCCGGGCTGGTCTCCAGGATAGCCATAGGGGTACTTGTCCTTCTTTGATCTGTTCAAGGGGTCAGCAAAACTACCTTTTAGGTCATGAATGTGCGGTAAACTTACGGATCCCGAGGGCATTCCGTGCAACGGACGTGCTGGCATCCCTGGCAAGTCTTGTTTCCAGAAGTGAAGAGGCTCTTGCAGCCGCAGCAAGTCCTGCGCACGCGTTGGCGAGGCTTCTTGTGAACCAAATCTTGAGCTCCAGTCTTGGCGGGACGTCTGAGGACGAGGTTCTTCTCGGACTTCGGGTTCCAGTCGGGGATGATGGGGGCGTTCTCGGCACGGTCCTTGATTATCTGTGCGCGCTTCTTCCTGCTCTCCTCCCTCTCGGCCTCGGACTTCTTGGACGGGATACGAGGGCACTGCTTGCACCGCGTATGCTTGCACTTGGAGCATTCCTTGGAAGCTCCGAACGAGGTGTCGCATTGGTGGCACTTGCGGTGGACACGCATCTTGATGGGCTTCTCAACACGGAGAGCATGGCCCTCAGTCGAGTGCCACTCGCTAGGCTTCAGCTCCAAGCCATAGAGCTCACCGAGCTTCTTGGCACGCTCCTCGAACAACTGAGCGCGAGGGACCTCTTGGGCATTGGGGTCAACAGCCTTGGCCGCAGCAGCAGCAGGGGCGGTCTTGGTGGTGCTATAGTCATTTGTTAGAGATTGTTTTAAGTGATTAAGTGAAGCACAGTGAAATGCATCGTGAACAATCGCATTGGGTGGATCAAGCTCAAAGCTGACGGACGGTATGCCAGCCCGTGCCCAATAACAACTCCTCCCCAGCAGTCCCAGAAAGAAATAGGCCTTACCTCTTGGCGGTTTCCTTGCCCTTCTTATCGGCGGTAGCAGCGGGATCGGCCTTTGCGCCGCTGGTCGAAAGTCGCTTCGTTCTCAGAACCGTCTTCACTCTTGCCAAGACCTTGCCGAAACCCTTCTTCTCCTCCTTTGGGACCACGGGTCCCCCCTGTGTAGCCGAGCTCATGACGATGGCGTTGTTCTTGATCATAGGGTCGGTTTGTTTAGGATGAGTTGGTACAACTGTAGTCGGTTTTGCTGAAATGAGTTGATGTATAGTAGTAGTGGTGGTCGAGTCGTGTTGTTGGTGGTTGTTGTTGCTGATATGATTCGGTTCCAAGCCCTTGGGATCAATAGGTGAGGTGGACCCAAAACGCCGCAATTCCAACCAATCCCCGTCGATCACTGCCTCCTCTGTGCTCGGAGAAATTGTTGTCGAGCTTGGTTGTTGACAGACATACACACACGGCTTATGTGTGTTGTCCTGTTGTGTGGATAAGGAAAGAGAGGAGAGGGTTCCTCGTTCTTGGGAAGTGGGATTGAGGGAAAGAAAAGGGAACTGGGCGGCCGGGGAGGAGCCCAGGGGGGTACGGGGTACGAGAACGGCTGGGAAACCCCAAACTGCAGACTGCCTTGGACGGCCTTGAGCTGTCCACTGACAGGCTACAGGCATGCGGGAACAGGGACGGGAGGAGCAGTGAATCCCGTGGAGACCGCCAAGTGGGGTGGGAATGGCACGAATGCCTGTCAAAACGGAACAATGGAACGGTGGTACGGTGCAATCATGGAATTGATGGCTGCAAAACACGCCCAAGTAGGACTAGACAAGAAGCGGCCCCTGGCGGTAAAGCACAGTATCGCTGAAAGGTACGGTATTGTATCATGCAATACGCCGCTTTACTGCGTTTCCGTGCGTTGTCCGTACGCGCAGCAATGCTCTGACTGGCCCGGTGGCAGACCGTGGCATGCCGTGGGACTGGGTGGTAACCGGGAAACATACCCAGTCGTTTCCCGGGCGTTTCCTAGCCAAAAACTGTTGTCGGGTGGGGTCTGTCCCACCACCCTTGTCTTGTCGTGTAGGTCCAGCCCTCACACCCTTCTCCTATATTTTAGCCCTCTACATTTCTTTTCCCTCTTAATTCTAATTTTTTCTCTATAGTACATATATTTATATATCATTTTACTCTCAAGTCTAAAAGGTTATAAACCCTCTAATGATACTAAATTGTATCACTTTCACTACCCTTACGCGTATCTAAAAAATTAATTAAGTTACCATCGTAGTATATAATCGTTGCGTATACACCGTATTATAATAACCCCGCCGATAAAAATTAGCTCTATTAACGTATTACGAACCCTACCCGCCGATAAAATTAATTCTATCGACCTTAGCTTACAACTGAATAAAAATTCTTAATAATTCAATAATTCTCTTACTTCTATAAATTATAACCTCGATATTAATCCTTAAGATTGCAATTCCAAAGATTTCGGTCCCTAAAATTATAACCCCGCCCGTTAACTTAATAAATCTTCCCGTGAACTTCGGCTATATCGACTAGTAGAATAATACTATAGAATATAATATAACTTTAAATTTAATTCCCCTTAAGGGTAAATTTATTTTTAATATTTAAATTCGTACTTTACGAATTCAATTGGCTTCCTTCGGCTTAAAACCTTATATTACAATTTCAATCCCCGTTCTTAAAATAAAGAATATAATTAAATGGGAGGATATAAAGGCTTTAACTAAATAATATATAGACTATGCCAAAATTAAAAACGTTATTTATTCAATTATTAATAACAAAACTATTTAATCCGTTTTCGTAATTAATAGTTAAGACGAGGATAACGATAATCCTAAATATTTATATAATCTTATCCGCGATAATATTTCTAATGTAACTAATGAAACTAAAAATAACGTTCTCAATAAATATTAAACCTTCAAACATTCTTGTTTTAGATCCCTCGAATCCTTTCTTATACGCTACTAAACCCTTCGTAAATATATTAAGGATATCAGTTACCAAATTAATAATTTCGTCGAATTAATAAACTTATTTAATATTTTTAAATATTCTTACCCTATTAATATTAAGTTCTAGGCCGCCAATTTAAATAAAGGCCTTCTTACTACCAAGACTTTCCTAAACTAATTATCGACTTTAACCAATACTAAGAAGTTTCTCAATAATATAATCTTTACTAAAGTCGAGACCAAAATTATAAAGATTAAGGGTATTAATAACGATGAAAACCCTACTACCTACAAAATATATAATAAGAAGATTATTAAGGGCCAAAAATACTTCCTATATAATTATTATCGCGCCCTGGAGTATCCTAATTACTAGTAATATAATTTTAAGAAAGCTCCAGATAAATAAAAGAACAAAAATAAAGCGATAAAAGAAAAGAAGAAAATTAGTACAACGGCAGCAGTTTCGAGCAATAGCTCCAATATCCACAACCCAGCGACCTCTGCTATCAATTCTAATTTACTATTCAACTTAAATAGTCTATCCTTTAATGATAACTTCTTAGAGGATTTTGATTAGAATTCTTAACAAATTTAGAACCGCTTACTTCTAAATATATATAGAATAGTAATAACGTTCAATTTAATTTCGTTAAAGTCTAATAAACTCTCGAAGCAACTTCGTATTTAATATAAAAAGATATAAT